ACAACCAGTGGAAAAGAGCTTGGATGTTCAGTTTTTACTGTAATGGGTGCATTGAGTCTCCACTCATTTTCAAGATAGACCATACTAGAGTCTGTAGGTAGCAATTTCTTAAGAGAGCACAAGAATGCATAATGATAAAGCTAATTTTCTGTGACTTGTGCATTAGAAGGAGCTTTGCAAAAGGGCTTTTTTTCCTTCCAAAGGCAGGAGGGTGACTGTCAGTGGCAAAGGGGAAGGAGCTGTTCTTATGGAACTGTAGCAGGTTTAGGGATTTGCTCATATCAAACAGTCTGTAAACACAATACAGTCCATATTCCCAGGGCACACTTGTCACACAGGCACCTTCCTATTTCAGTCAGTCCTCAAACTCTAACCCAAGCACAGGCAGTAAAGGGTTAACTTACAGGTCTGAGTTGTCTTCATCCCTTGACAAGGTACTACTGCTCCTTGGCTACAGTCATTCCTCTCAGGCTGTCTGCAACTCAGCTCCCTTCCATGATGCTGCGCCCAATCTTGCAGCACCTGAGTTTCTTCCCAGACCCTGAAAGTCCCTGGTCTAGTATAACAGCCACTCTCACTCTCTTTCCCTTTCCATTCTTCTTGTCTCTGGCTTCCCCTCCCTGGAAGCATTTTACTTCCTGTGCCCAGTAATTATCTCCCTCAGCTGACCCAGTCCTCCTGAGCAGCCTGCAATTAGTATTACTGTTTAGAGCTTTGCTGGAGCCTCGGGCTCACAGCCTGCTACAGGGAGCCTGTTTGACTAATCAGGTATCCCTTATTTCCATCTCAGGCTGAGCAACTTGTTAGTGATTCATACATTTGGAGGTCCTGGAATAGAAAAGGGAGGTCTTTCAGGCCAGTGGTGAGCTACTCAGAGTACATGCAGGAGGTGTTCACAAGCCTTCACACTACACACAATGTTTATAGAAGGTAGGGTCTTGTCAATTCTCAAAGTAGGTTGCTATGCCAGCTAACCTGACTAACCAGCTTGAATTTCTGCCACCTGAAAAACTTAGAATCGTCACATCTCAGGAGTGGGTCTGGAATAGAAGTACAAATAAGCTTTTGAAGTGATTGGTACTTTGTTCTTGTCTTGGTATGCCTTTTCTCTCCTATCTTTGGCAAAGCCACTTCAGCAAGGGATAGGATGTTGCAAGAACTTCTTGGACTTTGCTCCTATTAAAAATGCAAATCGCCTCTAAAGCAGCTGTGCCAAGTGCACACAGATTCTGTGCCAAAGTTCATTACTCCTCCACTGTGCAGTGACGTTGGCTGGCAAGGTTTCAGCACTAACTCATTTTGAAGCAAATGCCTAAGGTCTCGTTGACTTTCCCATATAATTGTCTTAGTAGACATGGGAATGAATTCTTGACATGATGAGGGGTGACCACAGTGGTAAAAGAATGATGTGGTTTAGAATCATAGAAGCATAGAAGATTAGGGTTGGAAGGGACCTCACTCAGGAGGTCATCTAGTTCAACTTCCTGCTCAAAACAGGACCATCCCCCAACTATATTATTCTACCCAAGGCTTGGTCTAGCTGGGTCTTAAAAATCTCCAAGGATGGAGATTGAACAGCTTCTCTGGGTAACCTGTTCCAGTGCTTTGCTACCCTCCTAATGAGAGAGTTCCCCACTCACAAGCAATATGCAACTAAAAGAGGGTTTATTACAGGGAGGGAGTGTGAACAAATATACAAACCTAAAGACAACCCTAACTATTAAACATCAATTGAAATCCAAAATAGTTAAATTTCAGTCACTGGCAAAACAACCCATGGGAGGCGCCACCTATCCAGTCTGTTGGGAAGGCAGGCTCACCCAGGGCTGCCGTGCAGGAGCTATATCACCTATGTCAGCCAACAGCGGCATAGGTAGGGAGGCCCACCCCAGAGACCCTGCAAGGGGTTTCTGCTCTGCTTCTCCCTCGATCCTCTTTGTGTTACCTATGCAACTCTAGGTCTTTTGGACCCTGGCGTACTTTAACATCAGGCTTAGGAATTTTTAGCTCTCTTAGCTATAGGAAGTATTTGATTTTCCCACGAGCACGTTATAAGGGCTGTGCTCACAAGCACCGTCCCTTTGAATAGTTGATGAGTTACAAGGCTATCCAGAGAGTGTGACGCCTGTCTGGAAACTCTCCTGTTCCTTGCACAAACGATATCTCCATACCATAACTGAGAGCAGATCTCTGCACGGCAAACAGTGTTTGCTGACATTTCAGTGACCTTTGCATACCTTCCTATTTGCAAGATTTCTGTACTTACAAACTTTACAGTTTTGGAAAAGGAGGGCTGGTGGACACAAAATCTGGTTTACCTGCCCTTGGCAAATGCACACTTTAACCCCAAATAGTAAAAAGATACAAGAGTAGGTCCCAAACCTCAAAATGTGTCTACTAATGAGGGCATGCAGGGAGAGACTGCATCAAGATACCGTTGTGGAAGGTAACTAGCTAAATGTGCATAACATAAGCAGGGTTTCATTTGCATCATTTCCCAAATGGTGAAATAATATCTCTTGTGGCTTCTGAGTTAGCCACACCCATTGTATTTAGATTTGGAGAAGCTTAGGGCTTGTCTACAGAAAGTTGAATTTGATTTCTAAGCTTTGTTAAACCAATGCTTACCTGTGTGCGGACACTTATTTTGGTTTGAATGGCTTGCTTAGCTTAGCTTTAACTTTAATTATCTAGGGCAGAGCTGACAAAATTATATGGCCTGCAGGTTGGATCCAGCCTATAGAGCTAGGTCATCCAGTCTGCAGACTTTTACCCTGACTGTCTGTGATGGGGATCGGCAGCAGCAGCCTGGTGCCTGGGTAGACCTACGGTGTTGAAGGACCAGCAGCAGCATGGGAAGATGCCTGGCAGCACAGTTTGTTCCTGCAGTGCCAGATTTCTTCCCATGGTGTGACTGGGGCTTCAGCATGCAGCTCTTTTCCGGGCATGTGGCTGCGGTCCTGGCATTGTTCCTGTGGCAGCGGTCAAGTGCCTGGGATGTAAGGCTTCTTCCTGCTGAGTCCCACGCCAGCTGGAGTGGGCACTGCAGGTTCTGAATCTGGCATGGTGGAGGGGGGTGCTGTGGGGCTGATCCTACCAGTGGGGTTGGCTTCTCACCATTCATCCATCTGGACCAGTCCTGCACCACTCCTTTGGCTCGGGGGGCCAAAGGAGTTTGACACCCTTGATCCAAGGCTAAAATGAAAAGAAACCCTTGTTTAAGCTAACATAAAATGCCTGTGCAGTCTTTTGCACTATTTTAACCAAATTGATTATTAACATTTAGTTGAATTTTAGTGATTTTTCCTTTTTTTTTTTTTTTATGTAGGCTTGCTGGTTTTACCTCATAATAGCTGCTGTTTCAGGCTCAAACAGGCATCACTGAGTTAGCTACAATTAATTTTCATTTTTTAGGGTTTTTTCCAACTAATGCACAGAGCTTACTGGTCACCCTTTGTTCATGTGGTAGACTCTAATGATAGATTGATTACTTATTAACTCAGTACATTTGTCCTTTTTTAAAAAAATTGAAAACTGCAATTCTGTAGGACAATGAGGTAGTTGCCATTTAAACTGAGGGAAGGGTTTAGTAACCTATGAACTGCTGAAAGGTCTTTTTATTTATTTATCTATTTATTTATAATCCTGTATCCCATCAAGGATGGCAGTTGGACAAATACAGTGCCTGTTCCTGTTCTTGTTGGAACCCATGACACCAGTCTTCATACCCAGGATGTAAATATGGTCAGGAGTGGTGGGGGTGCAAATTATGCAGAACAGAGAGTCAATAATCTTCAAATTCAGTTAATGCTGTGTTTTCATAGCATTAACTTTAGGAAGTTTGAAGGGAGTAGTTTGCTTCTAGTTCAAAGGTCAACTTGTTACAAATATTTTTAAACTGAAAATCAATGAGCATTTTAAAAATAACCAATAGCTCAAGAATAGTTTGAAAAAAAATAAAATAAAAATGTTCATGATTACTTCCATCCAGCATAGCAAACTTTGGACCAGAACAATTTTTCAGGTCAAGTGGAGGTATAAAGCAATCTTTGCAATTAAGATGGTTGCTGATGACTTTCTCTGGCTGTGGACAGTTCATTTCCAGCACTAAGGTTTCCTGGGAAATTCTTAGTCCTGGAAAAATAGGTCAGGATACAGCTGTTCTCACCCCCTGGTTGGAGAGCTACACCAGAGGCACACAAGAGGGCTGCTTCTTGGGTCTCTTTGCTTGTAGGGAGCTCAGTGATTGACGGCTTGTCATCTCCCTTGCTGGGGAAGAGGGCAGGATGTCAATGAGCAGTTGGCAGCTGCTGAAAAGCAGCAAATGAAAAGGACAGGAGGGCACTGTCTAGAGGCTGCAGGGCCAAGGAGAATTGCTTTCCTTGCCCCTTCTACTCCTGGTAGCACCTGATAGTTAGGGCTCTTGTAGTGGCAGGGGGAACACTTAACCCATCCCGTGCTTGCCTGCTTTGCCATTCTCCTGATCTGCAGAGCGTATCCAGTGTGCAGGATGGGAGGGGCTTGTTAAAGACATCTGGTGTAATTTTACCCTCACCTTTCCATTTAAAGCAGTGGTGCTCAACCTTCTGCCCCATGGGCTGCATGAGTGGTATGGGCTGGTCCACGGGCCAGATCCTGAATGCTGGATTTAGCTGCAGACTGATGATCTAGTGCGCGGGCCTACATCATTTGGCCCATGGGGCTTCCCAGGGGTCTGGAAATTTGGCAGCTGGGGAGTGGCAATTAACACTGCCACCGCGTCTTCGATACTGAATTTCCAGACTTGTGGAGAGCCCTGCAGACTGGGTATCACTGCTCCATGGGCCAGAGGTTAAGCATTACCAATTTTTAAAAGCTGTATCTCGCTCTTTTGTGCAAAGACTTTTTCTTCCTGTTTATATTTAGGATATCTGTGGAAATTTGCCCTTGGTGATTTGGGGGTGGTTCTTGTGTACATGATGCATTTGAGGTTTTTATAAGGCTTTTTGTTTTTTTGTTAGAGAAGTCTAAATTCCAAGAATGACGACCAACTCATTGGCAGATGTCAGCAAAAATATATGTATGGCAGCTAAATGAAGACTAAGGTAAGAGTCCTTTATCAAGTAACATATCTCAAGGGAACACATACTTGAAGCTTGTTATTATCTGGGGTAAAGCCTCCAAATTTTGTCCAATAAACCCTAGAATTTGTGTTGTACCGTCCATTTCTCAGGCTGAAGGTAGTGTAGAGATGCACCTTATAGATTAACTGAATTGGAGATGTATGTGATTTTGTGAGCTAGAGCTCAGATCATCGAATGCTCAGAACTTCTCCTTTTTCCCCAACCATGGTTTTTTTTTTTGGCGAGTCTGCTAGAAAATCTCACTTGGATACATACAGTTCATTTATTTTGGTTAATTATTAACACTGCACAAACATTTGTTCATTAATTATGCAGTTTTATCTAAAAATAAACACAACCCCTCCCCTCAATTTAAAAGGTTGTTTTCTGGCCTAGTAGAGAAGGGTCTGCAGTGTTTTCTGGGAAACCTACGTAAGAAACTCCTTCTATTAACTGAAAATGGTAATCTATGCTAATTTTATAAACAAACAGGAACATTCATCTTTGGCAGATTTTGAGAGCGTGCATATTAAAAATATTTAGATCCTCTCAACGTAGAACCCAGCATACGAGCTGTTTGAAGTCTCAGCCAATATGCTTGGAATAGACAAAACAGGCTGTTTGACTTATTCTGTCTTATACACCTTTGTGTATCTTGTATTTTATTGAAAAGGACATCAGTCCTGTGTAATGTGATGCAATGTTTTGAAATAGGTATTGTGTAACTGACAGAGACCACACAGTGACTAAAAACCTCTGAAGATTTTTTTTTAAACTTGATATGCAAAAAGGAGGCGCCGAACATAGGTTTGTAGTACACATTGACTCTAGATATTCAGCGTTACACAACTAAAACACATCATGATTACTAGTATATGATAACTTGCCTGCCACCTTCTGGAATATTTAGTCCTGAATATTTATAACTGAAAACCAATAGAGGCACATTCCCCTTCACTTCAGATGTCCATTGCAATAATTTTCTAACAGAGAACAACAGGCTTGTCTGCTCTTAAAACCTTTGCTGCTTTAAATATACTAGCCTAGTTATACACTCAGAGCATTTTTCTGTTTTACAAAAGTGCGTATGCCGCCGTGGCTTGCTCCAATGTGGAATCTGAAATAAGATGTATCAGTATAAATGCACTTATGGAAATGCTTTTACCAGCAAAGAGTCATACCCAATACTGATATAATGTTGGTACAAAGTATAGACTGAGCCCTCTATATGGACCAGTTAATACTGTGACTTGTGTGTGCCAGGAAGGGCCATATCACACTCATTTTTCCACATAATAGGTACAGTGAGGTATAAAAGTGATAGTGCAGCCAGGACATTTTTAATATATTAATGGAATTTTTTTTCCCTCTGTAGCAAAACATGAAATCTCTTTTGTGGTACATTTGCTATCTAATGCTGTTTGTTTCTCCATACTCAACTGGTAAGTTAAACATGTTTCTTAATATAGATTAATGCCTAAAATTAGTGTGATTAGTGTGTGTGCATGTGTTGTACGTGATGAAAATGAGTTAAGTGGTGACACAACAGGGAATGTTGTCTTTTTATCCAACAAGATATACAAATGCTAGAGATGGAATGGACAGACTGATGGGTGATAGGATGGTTTTATAAATAAAATGGAGGGAATTTCACAAATATGGAGGGAGCCATTTTTTAAAATGTGTTTTTAATTTTTTCTTAGAAGTGTGCATTTCTAAATTTACATGGCCCTCCTTTGCACATTGATAATGAGCAAACAGGAACACGTAGTAGATCGGGGTGACAAATATATATGGCCTGTGGGCCAGATCTGACTCATGGAGCTCCATCATTGACTCCAGGTGCTGCTTTTGGGTTTGATCAGATCCACATGAGGCACAACATGTGCCTGTAGTGTGGGACTGGTTTGCAGGCCAGATCTGGCCCATGAATTTCTTTTCTCTTCCCTCCACTCCCCACCTCCTACCCCTTCCCTCAGTATACCAGATCTGGTGACTGCTCCAGTCATTCTGGGATCTGCGCTGTCCAGTGAAGATCTCAGAGTGGGTGGAAGAGGTGCCACAGCCTGGCCAGAGTAGAAACCATGCAGCATGTCCTTGGCTGCCTGGCCCAACTGTGCTGCACATGGAGCCTGCTCTGGGACATGTGCTGCACGTGGAGCCTGCTCCAGCCAGTCCAGAACCTGCGCTGCAGATAATTTTTGTAGGCACTGTGTGCAGTGTGGGTTCTGGACTGGCTGGAGCAAGGCACTGCACGTGGTGCTCTGGCCAGACTGTGTTGCACAGAGTCTGTTGTAGCCACTGGGACCTGTGCCGCATATAGCACAGGTTCTAGACTGCCTGAAGCAGCTGCTGGTTCAGGTATGCAGGTGGAGGGGGTCCACAGGTCTGGTCTGACCTATGGACCTGCCCCCCACCATTCTTGTGGCTGGGGGCCGGATGAGTTTGACACTTGTATTAGATGTATGTATCTCAGTACACTGTGGATGAGTATAATCCTAATGGCTAACAGTACTTTTTGTCCTGGATTGGGATGTCATACTGATATGAATACTGATAGCTTTCTGCTTATTGCTAGTTGATTCTTGATTGAAAAAGTGTCTAGCAGAGTGCTTTCTTGTTTAGATTTGGAGTTAGATATTACATTTATAATCTTATTACAATGACTATTTATATCACATTCCTCCCTAATTCCTGCCAGAGTAAAGGAATGTCTTCCATTGGTCCAAGGAATTTGAAGGATTCTGCAGGGACATCGATTTCTCAAAAGATTAATATTTTATGGACCACTCTAGCCTTGTAAGCTCCTTTTTCTGTCCAGAAATTTGAAACGCTGAATGCCAAGGCAGTGACCAGAACTTTCTTTTTTATGGTGATTACTTGTCATATGAAGTTATCTAATGGCTAGTTACATATTTCCAGGTGTTTCAGGGGAATTCTCCTTACAGTAGTGCTCAGAAAATTAAATTGGAAGAAAGGAAAACATTGTTAAGTGGAAGATCAATAAAGACTTGGGTTTCTTTAAAAAAACAAACAAAACGGTTTGGGCTGTAGCAGGAATTTAGTATACCCTGGTCTGAGACTGAGGTTTTGTAGCGTTTTTCATGGGAATATAGGATTTCAAATTTATAGAGAAGCTTGAAAGCTTTGAGATCCTCTCTGTAGCCACCTGGTGTGTCTGTTTTATCTAATCATGATAAACTGACTTCTTAAAAATAATTGTAGTAAGCATTGCATTTCTTAGTCACTGGGTGTGACTTTGCATGGTCTGTCACTACTGTTTAAGCACAGCATATTTGTGCTTTAACTTATTATAGAACTAAGCCAACGCAAATCCTGCTTATGTTTGATGTGTAATATTCACATTTGCTATATTAAATAGAAATCTTGATGTATGGGTGAGATGAGGCAACTTGCAGAACTAAAGGTAGCATATGCATCAAAGACTTAAAACAAAAGCTTCTTGGCCTGAAATGTTGACTTACTACAGACCTGGCTTGAATCATATGAAGATTTACAAGTTCATGGATTTAATTGAATCTCTGTTTAGTCTAGTTCCCTGAATACAAGAACTAGGAGGTAATCACTAACATTCACAGGAGAAAAGTTTAAAACAAATGAGATAAGTACTGTGTCTACCTGAGACGCTGACTGCACAGTCTTTACTGAGCATCCATTCAGTACCTGTATAAACAAGTATACGTACTAGGTATAAACAAGTACTAAATGACTACTCAGTAATGACTGTGGAGTCAATGTCTTGTGTAGATGTAGCCAGTGTGTCAAAAGAAAAACAGGTAAGTACTTCTCTTGTTTGTTTTAAACTTTTCTCCTGTGAATTTTAATGACTACCTTGTATAAACAAGTACTAAATGACTGCAGTAACCTGAGTTACTGTGCAGTAGTGCCAATAAACAGCTTTTTCTGACTCTGACTGTGCAATAGCCCGAGACTGCTGCTCAGTAGTGTTGTCTGCCACACACTGCTACTGAATAGTAGTCTTGGGCTACTGCGCAGTCAATGTCTTGTGTATATGTGGCCAGTGTGTAGTAAACTTGTGGAACTCACTGCCACAGAAGGTTATAGTCAAAAAGGGGTTAGACCGATTTAATGGAGAACAGGTATACTGCTAGCTATTAAATCCACTGACTGTTCTAGGTAGATCCTTTGACATCCCTAGCCAATTCTGGTCGATATCAGGAAGGGTATGCCGGGGGATGGATAAGGCCAAACACAGCTGGTATGAATATTCCCCCTCTAAAGCATCTATGTCATGCCACTATTGGAGACAGGGTAGTGGACTAGACGGACCATTGTTCTGACTCAGCATGGGACTTCTGTCCATTGGATTATCTTGTTCTTATAGTTTCAAAAACTGACTACTGTACTGTTTGTTCTCTCTAGCCTGTTTTGTCCTCTCAGATGCAGAAATGTGTCTGACTGGCAGCAGGGGGGAACTGTGTACTTCCACTGCCTGGGCTGCAGTTGTGAAGGACAGTTTCTACATTGTCAGTCTAGTATCTTGCATGAGAAGTAAGGGGGTCTATATACATGCTCCGGGATGGGACAGGTGTGGCATTTTAATTAGAGCACTCTTAGGAGGCATGGCATCTCGTGTATTCAGCATCCTGCACTTATAACTGGCAGCAGGGGTGTTTTTACTAAAGCTTGTTCAATGAGCTTTAGTTAAAGTGCCCCACCACCATTGGTGGGCTGCTGGAGTGTTCTAATTAGAACTCAATTAATCGAGTCTGCTCTGACACAGATGTACAGGCATCCTAAGAGTTGTTTTATTTGAATTAAAAAGGACTAGAAAAATAGATTGTGAAGGTTGAGATGGCCAGTGAATTAGAAGCATCTCTGTATATTACCCTAAACATTGAGAGTGTGTGACTAATTTATGAGGGTATATTGTCACCTCCTTTAAGAGACGTTTGCATGGTTTGAAATAGGGGTGGGTTGAAGTCCTCAGATGGAAAATGATGACTAAATGCAGATACATTTGCAAAATTACTGCTGATAAATTGTCATTGAAAGAGAGCTTATCAGTCATGTATCATCCTAAGAATATGCTAAAAATATTAACGTTATCATTATGAAAAGTTTGCTTATGTTTTTGACATTTTTCTTTGATATTAAATAGAGGGATGCGAAACCTGTCTTCATTTTGTGCTCAAAGGAGAGCCTGTTGCTATCAGTTGTCCAAAATTTTACAACACTGACTACAATCTGACTTGGTATAGGAATGGTAGTGATATACCAGTAAGCACAGAGAGGCATTCCCGAGTTCATCAGCGAGAAAACTTTCTTTGGTTCATCCCTGCAAATTTAGAAGATTCAGGTTTTTATGCATGTAATATAAGGTAAGGTCCTGTGTTTCTAAATGTGATAGTGCCCTAAAAAACAGAAAGACTGATCATTAATGCACTTGGTACAATACTGTATTCTCATGTTACTCTACCATTAAAAAAAAATTCCTATTAGTACTCGTATGGGATGCATTAGTTCTTCAGCTATTGGTTTTTACCTATTGATACTAGCCTCTGTTGCTTGTTACTTCCATATTGGTAGTATTTGATGTAAAATCATATTTGATAATTTTTCATCTTAAAGTACCTTATAAGTACTAGGAAATTAAGGTTTTGGAAAGTGTAAAATTTATTTTAAAAAGACTGTTTTTGTAATTATTTATTGAGGTTAATTAATTGCTATGAATAACAGATATGACATAATTTTAATTGAATCATAGAAAATTAGGTTGGAAGGGACCTCAGGAGGTCATCTAGTCCAACCCTGTGTTCAAAGCAGGACCATCCCCAGCTAGATCATCCCAGGCTTTGTCTACCCAGATCTTAAAAATTTCCAAGAATGGAGAGTCCACAATCTCTCTGGGTAACCTGTTCCAGTGTTTTACTACCCTTCTTCTAGTGAGAAAGTTCTTCCTAATATCTAACCTAAACTTCCCTTGCTGGAACTTGAGACTGTTGTTCCTTGTTCTGTTATCTGCTACCACTAAGAACAGTCTAACTCCATCCTTTTTAAACCCCACTTCAGCTAGTTGAAGGCTGGTATTAAATCCCTTCTTAGATTCATAGATTCATAGATTCATAGATTAAGGGTCGGAAGGGACCTAGTAGATCTTCTAGCCCGACCCCCCGCCAGGGCGGGAGAACAACAAAAACCCCAAAAAGAGAAATGGGACTCAAACGAGTCCAGCTAGGTGGGCATCCAGCCTCTTCTTAAAGACCCCCAGGGTAGGGGCCAGCACCACTTCCCTTGGAAGTTGGTTCCAGCTCCTAGCCGCCCTAACGGTGAAGTAGTTTTTGCGGATGTTCAATCTATACCTCCTCTCCAACAGCTTGTGCCCATTTCTCCTTGTTATGCCAGCGGGCGCTAGGGGAAACAGCGTCTCCCCCAAACCCCTCTGGTCCCCCCTAGTGAGTCTATAGACAGTCACCAGGTCCCCCCTTAGCCTTCTCTTGTGGAGGCTGAATAGGTTCAGGTCCCGCAGTCTCTCACTGTAGAGTCTGCCCTGTTGTCCCTGGATCATGCGGGTGGCCCTCCTCTGGACCCTCTCCATATTGTCCACATCCCTCTTGAACTGGGGCGCACAGAACTGGACACAATACTCCAGCTGTGGCCTGACCAGCTGGAGTAAATAAGCACAGTTCCCTCAGCCTTTCTTCATAGGTCATGTGCTCCAGCCCCCTACCATTTCTGTTTTCCTTTGTTGGATTCTCTCCAATTTGTTCACATCCTTTCTGTAGCATGGTGCCCACAACTGGACACAGTACTGAATAAAGGGGAATAATTACTTCCCTTGATCTGCTGGCAACACTTCTACCAATGCAGCCCAGTATATTGTTAGCTTTCTTGGCAACAAGGGCACATTGTGGGTTTGTATTAAGCCTATCGTCCACTGTAATCCCCAGGCACTCGATGACATCTTCCAGGTCGTTGATGAAGATATTGAACAAAACTGGCCCCAGGACCAACCCCTGGGGCTCTCCACTTGATACTGGCTGCCAACTAGACATTGAGCCATTGATTATTACCCTCTGAGGGTGATCCTCCAGCCAGTTTTCTATCCACCTTACAGACCATTTTGGATGATTTGGAAGGTGGATAATGATGATTCTTACTTCTTTAGCGTGCCTGTGTGAATATTGTGTGAGACTATCAAAAGCCTTGCTAAAATCAAGGTATCCACAGAGCCAGTCATCTCATCTTAGAAGTCAATCAAGTTGGTCAGGCATGACTTGCCCTTAGTGAATCCATTGGTTTGATTCCACTAAAAAGGAGATGAAATGTTTGTTGAGGATAAACATGGCAATACTGTTTTAAAGTACCTGTCTGAGGTAGTTCTCCATATCTTACTAGATGTGATATTGAAACAATATACATTTTAAAAAACTATCAGACTGAAAGTCAGTAACTTTAAGTAAAAATCAAGCCTGTGTGTCATGTAGTTAGCTTTACCAAATACATTTTTCAAGCCTTTAAGAGGCCACATATTGAGTCACTTAGATGAAGGATATTACAAAGTCTTTGGGATTGGGCTTGTTATTGCGATTTTTTTAAAACTGATTAGTTGTGTGGTAGGCTTTGGCTAAGATTTTTCAGCTACGAATATTGTTTTAAATAATAGCTTTAAAAGTCTAACTAAAAACTCGTTTTTTAAAAAGCTTTGCTTTCGGCTGGACTTCCATTTCTACTTTTCCAGTAGAGTATCCAGAACCTTAGTAGCACTAATTTGTTTTTCTGGGAATGTAGGGCATACCATTTATGGTCTAATTTTGCTGCTCCTCTTATTACAGGAAAGCTAACAGCTCTGAGAAAACATATGTACAACTAAGCGTTTTCAAGAATGATAATGATTTATGCTTTAATGAAAATACAAGATTTGACCAGAAAGTGTTTACCTTAACTGCTGGAAAGATTACATGTCCTCTTCTGGGGTATTTTAAAGATGAAAATAACACTGCTTCTGAAATACAATGGTATAAGGTATTGCATTTGAATTTGAGGATTTTTGCATTATGTCCATTTTTTTTAGAGAAGTAACAATGGGCGTGTCTACACGTGCATTTACTGTGCAATAAGTTACTACACAGTAAGCAGTTGTTAGACCGGCGTCTACACATATAGACATTATAGCGCAGTAATGCTGTGTGCACTCCAACTTGAGAGTAAAGTTACTCCCAAGTTGGAGTGCATACATAGTGTCACTGATCGGTAAGGTGTCTACACGTGCTTTACTGTGCAGGTAGCAAATTTATGCCCAACTCAGCATAAGTCACCATAGTTACTGCACAGTACAGGTGCACATGTGTAGATGTGCGCCCATACTGCACAGTAACTTTCAGTGCATGTGTAGATGTGTCCTATGAATGGCAATGGAAAAAAGCAAGTATGTGAGTATATGCATGAAACTGGAGTAGATATCTTGCCAGCAACCTGGTTGTTTTTACCAGAGTACCTTACAAAGTAGCATTGCGATCTGCTTCTAAAGTAAGATGTTTCAGCATCAGAAATGTGAGACTGCACTGTAGATACCTTTTTAGATAAGAAATGTGTGATTTGCACTGTAAATAAAAATATATAGATGATGCACTACTTACTTATAGAATACAATAATTTGTTTTTCATAGTTTTATATGAAAAACAAGTGATTCAATTGTATGGTAAGTAGTGCATCATCTATATATTTTTATGGCTTATTAATCTTAAAAGTCTGTTCAGGAACATACTTTATCTACTGAAAGCTTATAAACACTTTTGACACTTTACACTTTTACTGCAGGTTCAGTTTCACAAAAAATCCAGTTCATTGGATTTTGTTGGATTATGTCTGTTTGTTAAACAGACTTGGAAGGTGGTAGATTCTGCGATATGCTAGCTAAATTTTCCAGGGGAAATGTTGGCTTGCCATGCAAACACAATGTTGTTACAAGGATTCCCTTGGTGGCTGTGGAAAGGAAGGCTTGTATGTCTGAATAAGGAGAGAACCTTAAATAAGAGTAAACTGAATCTTGGGCTAAGTGAGGTGGAAGTGCTTCCCACAGGAATCATCTTCAGGAGATGGCTTCTTCTGTGTTAGTCATAGGAAGGAAAAGGTTTGCCTGTACTTTGCCAATATGTGACTTCTGTAATTGAGTGTCCATCTGCCTTTTAGCTCAGTTATTGGTAATTTGTATGTAGCTACAGTGATCCATGCATTTCTTATTGATTTAAATTATTGTACTGCACTGTTCATGAAGAACTTGAAAACTACACCTATCACCATGTGGTAGCCTGATTGCATAGCTGAGTTCATTTATAGGAGCATGCTATATTTAGGCTGCAAAGATTGCCCTCCCTTCCCATTCACTTTTAGATGCAGTTCAGGTTGGGGATCTTTACAATCTTATATAGCGTGAGCTCTAGTTCGATGGAGAAATTGTATCTCTATGCATTGTATGCTGCAGAAGGCTTCATGGAACTAGGCAGTGATACACTTGCATTACTTTTGATAGGGGTGGGTCTTAAATATAATGCTCTTTAAATAAATAAATAAACCTTCTGGAACACTGTACAAAATTAAAGCAATTCATCCTTTAAATATGTTTTTAAGTCCCTAAATCAGATGAAACTCCCTCCTTCCTTCCCCTTCATACTCAAACAAATGATTTGATTGTATGGTAAGTAGTGAATAATTTGTATCTTTTTATCTACAGTGCAATCACTGATTTCTTATCTACAAATTTATCTACAGTGCAATTACACATTTTTGATGCTGAAACATCTTACTTTAGAAGCAGATTACAATACTACTTTATAAGGTGCTCTAGTAAAATTCCCTCCTGTCCCTTCTCCTTCCCCTGCTCCCCTCCCTGCCGCTGCTATTTTCCCTGCTGGTCCTGGAGCAGGGGAAAGGCCCATAGCTACTTTTGCCTGTCCCAGCTAGGCTGCATGTGGCTGGACTCAGCTGGGAATAGGGACAGCAGCAACTGTATTGTGGGAGAAGTTTCCTCCTCCTTGACCAGTCCCCTGGGACCAGGTGCAGGAAAAAGGAACCTCACCCCCACCCATCCCCACTGCTGCTGTTTGGATCTCCATTGCCAGCTGAGCCCAGCACAGCATGGGTGTGACAAACAGAAGCAGCTTTGGAGCTTTCCTTGTTCCCCCTGGAACAGCAGAGAAGGCGGTAGAGCAGGAGGAGAGCAGAGGGAGCGTGCCTTTGAGTATGAAGGGGAAGGAAGGAGAGATTTTTCACCTGCTTTACAAGTTCCTAAAGGCTCCTGCTGCACCCTCACTGGTGGGGGGAGAAGGAAACTGGGAGCAGGGGTGCAGCCATCCATGCAGCACAGGTTACTGCTTTCACACCCGCCCTTCGGGAAATCCTGGATCTGTCCCTGAGCAGAGACCATAATTCTTCTGACTCGGTCTACCTCTCAGCCCTTTCCCTTGAGCCCTGTGAAAAAATGTTCTTGACATTTTCATTGGAAAGCTCCTTAAATTTTGTCTTAAATAGAACATAATGAAACTGTTTAGAAACATGAACATGTTATGCTTCCTGGAGTAAAAGGGGAACATTTTTAAGCTCTTGAATTAATGTTCTATGCAGGAGGCCTGAGTTCTACTCTGCACTCTTACTGTCGGTAGGAGACGTTTGGGGTCCTACAATCTAATAAAATCTCTCTAAAACAAATAAAAAATTGAAGAATGGGATAAGGAAATCCATCTGAGGTATTAAAAAAAAAACAAAAAAAACAACAAACAAACAAAAGCCAAAACTTCTTGGCAAAAAAGTGAAGTACTTGACTGTCTGTTTTTAAAACAGAATAACTAGTCAGTGTTTCACTACTAAAGCCAGCGTTTCATGACTAAAGCTTTGTGTCTAATCAATGATCAAAAATGTATTTTGGTTTTGATCTGGGTGGGGAAATACGTTTTATGTTGTTAAAAGATTACAGTTTTTTGTTTTGCAAATGTTTAATTATCAAGTTATGTAATTTAGCACTATATTATAGTTATTTTTTATTATTTTGCTTTATTTAGGAATGTAAGCCTGGATTACTTGAAGATCCACGATTTCAGCCTTTAAAGGGTCAACCCTATCTTACTATTAAAAACGTAACTCTACAAGATAAAGGAAACTACACGTGCCTCACAACATACATGCATATGGGAAAATTTTATAATGTTTCACGGACCATTAATCTGGATGTTGAAGGTAACTGTTATGATTTAAAAAAAAAAATCTTTCTTCAAATAGTGCAGCTGTTCTGAAAAACACAGATGTTTGACATTTCTAAATCAGTCCTTCCTTGAATGTTAGAAATAAATCGCAACTGTAAAGTACTCCAACACAAAGTCTCCTCCCTTTGTCCCTCCCCCTTGCTTTCTGTATTATATTTAGGATAATTTAAAACTTTTCCTTTACTAAAAATAGGTCTGCCACTTCTATTTGAATAAAAATGGACTTGAGGTCTATTTCTATGTACACATGAAGGAAGAGAAGTTTGAAAAGCTGTGTAGCTGTTCTCAATTTCTGTGTTTAGCCTATTGATGAATTTTCAGCTGAGATCCCAAGTCCTGGATGTATCTGGTATAACAGAGGAAATGAGAGAGAGGGCTTAAATATACTGGCAGAAGTTCTGCTTTTATGATAACCTTGTTGGTACTGTAATGGTTGACTTGACTTTACTAAAAAAAGCCAGTGTCAGGTGTAGTGAAAAATACTGCAAAGTCATCCCTACAAAGGTATGTACGGATCTGACCTGGGATGTTCAGGGAAGGGTCATTTGTGCTTCCCTTTGTGTAGGTAGTTGGGGACAAAAGATGGTCACTGTTCTAGCAGAATAGATGCACAGCTGTACAGCATCCTTAAACTTGAGAAGTTCATTGGTTACATCCGTTTCTTTGGGTGCTAATATGAAGCACAGCCATAGACCCAGTGAATGGCACAGGAGAATCCTGACTCTGCAGCTTAAGGGGAAATTGTCTGCCCTTGTTAGGATTCATTTTTATCCTCTTAATTATTAACTTTTTACTCCTTGTTTTTTGGAGCAATGTCTAGAACTGGAAACCATTTAAGACCAGTTGTCTTATCACTATGACAGCCTGAGTCATTATAAAGCATTCACGCACAAAATATTAAAACCTAAAGTCACCTATGACTGGGTCATTTTCCCACCTTACAGAGGAAAGGATGTGGCTGCCTTTGAGGTTCAGAAATACAGCTTCTTGAAAAGCAGGTCTGCCTGAATTGCAGCTTTTGGCAAAACATACTCTAGTTTTTGAGGTGCAGCTCCATCTTCCTAAGCAACCTGTTAAGGTCTGTGACATTTGACAAGCTCCCAGAGGGAGAGGGCAGATTGAGCATCTGGAAATATCTTCCCTTATCCCTAATTTTTTCCTTTTGCTTCAATGAAAGTTGCAGGTAGAGGAGAAAATGTTGAGTACCTGTCAGAGGGAATAGTGAGATTTCAGCCAATGTTCTGGGAGATGCTGTTAGAATGGAGCATGATACTTGAGGAAGAGTCAATAGGGAGAAATTGTTTGGAGCAATGGTTAATGGATTGTGCATTAGGGGAGCTGGGGGTTATGGTGGAAGAAGTAGTATAATGGAATGCACAAATGAAGTTTCATACTAGTACAATAAAAATATCATGGCTTTTTTCCCCTGCTGAGCCCATGAAAGCAAAATCTGCTGAGAAGCTGTTTCTTATGATCTAGATGATCAGTTTGCTTGCAGAATCTGACCAAGTTTGCTTGCTCCAACAAAACTTACATGGTAATATAGGAAAATTGCTCTGGTATTCAAGTTTGTGTCGTCAGCCATACTTGCATACATCCAAGAGGAGGTCAGGCTTGCTGCTGACATTGAGTGTAGCATTTATCACTGTTATCTTAGCTGCTACATCTGTATATGCAATATTTCTACCTCATATGCTGATTGACATCTGATGAATGATCATGAAAATTACCACTCTCCCACAAGAAAAGTTTTCTTAAGTTGAAATTGCTATCTTTGAGCATTGTGTTTAATCTGTTGATTTCAGATATTTTCATAATGCTCCTGGCTGTGGTAAAAGTTCAAAAAGAATAGAACCCAATCTTGTGGTGTAAGAACAGTTATTTGCTGTCAGGGGTTTCATAAACCATGTAGAACAATATAGTTCCTGTCTAGTATACATGAAGTATTCCTGTCTGGACACACTTTTACCTTATAGATTTGTAGATGCATAGATGTTAGGGTCGGAAGGGACCTCAGTAGTTCATCAAGTCTGACCCCCTGCCCTGGGCAGGAAAGAGTACTGGGGTCAGAGAACTGCAGCCAGGTGCTTGTCCAGTCTCCTCTTGAAGGCCCCTGGGGTAGGGGAGAGTACCACCTCCCTTGAAAGTCCGTTCCAGATTCTGGTAACCCTTACCATGAAGAAGTTCTTTCTAATGTCCAACCTAAATCTGCTGTCTGTCAATCTGTGGCCATAGTTCCTAGTTACTCCAGGGGGTGCCCTAGTGAATAGAGCATCTCCTATTTCCTGCTGCCCTCCCCTGATGAATTTATAGGCAGCTGCAAGATCACCTCTCAGCTTCCCTTGCGAAGGCTGAAGAGATCTAGGTCCCTCAGTTACTCCTTGTAGGGCCTTGCCTGCAGGCCTCTGACAATATGAGTGGCCCTCCTCTGAACCCTCTCAAGTTTGTCCATATCCCTCTTGAAGCATGGCACCCAAAACTGGACACACTACTCCAACTACAGCCTGACCAGTGCCGCATAAAGGAGAAGCATCACCTCCTTGGACCTGTTCGTCATGCATCTGCTAATGCATGATAAAGTGCGGTTATCCTTGTTGATCACTTTGTCACATTGACAACTCATGTTCATCTTGGAGTAGACTATGACTCCAAGATCCCTTTCCACTCCTGTGCTGTTGAGAAGGTCATCCCCCAGCCTGTGAGTGTGTTGGTGGTTCTTTTTGCCCAGCACTTTGCAGTTGTTTTTGTTGAATTGCTGAACTGCATCCTATTTCATTCTGCCCATTTTTGCAACCTATCCAGATCCACCTGGATCTGTTCCCTACCCTCTGGTGTGTTACCTTTGCCCCATAATTTGGTATCATCTGTGAACTTGGACAAGGTGCTCTCTATGCCCTTGTCCAAGGCACTGACGAAGACGTTGAATAGCATCGGCCCAAGGACCAAGCCTTGAGGGACTCCACTGCCCACATCTTTCCAAGTCGATATTGACCCATTCACCCATATTCACCACTCTCTGGGTGAGACCCCTAAGTCAATTTGCCACCTACATGACTCTGTAATCATCTGCATCACAGCCTGTCAGTTTATTTACAAGAACAGAATGAGATACCATATTGAAGGCCTTCTTAAAGTCTACGTAGATGACATCTACCTCGCCTCCTGTGTCTAAGTATTTTGTGACCTGGTCACAAAAAGAAACAAGGTTAGTCAGGCAGGATCTACCTGCCATGAATCTATGGTGATTTTCCTTTCAGTATTATTTCCCCTGCTGGGCTCCCAGATACGTGATCTATAATGATTTTTTCCAGCGTTTTCCCAAGGATAGAGGTGAGACTAACAGGCCTATAGATCCCAGTTCCTCCCTCCTCCCATTCTTGAAAATAGGGAGCACATCAGCCCTTTTCCAGTCCTCTGGGACCTGACCAGAGCACCATGAGTGCTTGAACAGCCGTACCAGAAGCTCTGCTATGACATGGCCAATTCCTTCAGTACCCTTCGATGAAGTTCATCTGGGCCTGCTGATCTGGACACATCCAGCCCCTCCAAGTGCCCTTTCACTAAGTCTGCGCTAACAATTGTTGGGCTGGTGTCCCTCCTATGTTTATCTATGATCCAATTGGGAGATTTGTCTTGGTTTGTGTCTAGGAATACAGATGCAAGTAGATTAAATCTATTTTAGTAGATTAAAACAGGGTTGCTCAACATCTGTCCCATGGGCCAAATGCAGGTTGGAAAATTTGGTAGCGGGGGACTGATGGCAATTAATATAGCAACCTTCCCTGTTGCCATACTCCCAAACCCCAAGACCTGTGGGGCTGGGCTTGGGCCAAGGCAAGCCCCATCCCCCTCCCTGTGTGGCCAGGTTGAGGCTGTGTCATTCCCCCACCTCCCACTCCCCTCCCCACAGCAGGGGTGGGGCAAGTCCCCTTTCCCTGGAGGGCCAGCTTGGGGTTGAGCTGCCCCCCTGGCCCACTCTGTGCATGAGTCCCCACCACGTTTGCCCTGGGCATTGAATTGGGATCACCTGCTGGATCTGGCCCACAGGCGGACCAGGCACTGCCCATTCAGTTCCTCAGGCAGAAAGGTTGAGTGCCCCTGATTTAAAATATATGTGAAGCAGATGAATGGTTAACATCCAAGAGGTATCTTGTCTCTACTTCTTGCCAATTACTCTTGCAAGTATCTAAGAATTTTTATGTATTACAATTAAGTTTTAAGTGTTAAGTTTTACCTTTTAGAGTTAACCCCTTTGGCCAAATAATAACAAATCTCTTGCTAGAAGTATGCAAGTGAAAATTTGGAAATTCCTTTAAGTATATGATAATTATGTTAGTAACACTGTTGCCAAGTAGTAATAAAAAAGGACACTGCAGAAATAGTATCGTTATGGTAGCTTGTGGAATAAGTATTGGTTGTTTGATAATATTTAATAATAATGCTGATGATAATTATGATAATCTTCTTTGTTAGAAACTCCAGTGAAGAAAAAGCCAGAATTTATTTATCCAAACAACAACACTATTAAAGTAGACTTTGGTAAGTAATTCTCTTTTGACAAATGGCTAATACAGTACTGCATACCACAGTTGAACTCCTGGCTGTTTTAAAGTCAGTGGTAAAACTTTACTGACTTCAGTAGGCCCAAGACTTTGCCTGAGGATTTGAGGCTTTTTTTTTTTGCTTGCTTATGCATATGTATTACACTGAGGCAGTGTAGGCTTGAGATCAGAGTTTTCTGGGTGATAGTGTCAGTTAGAAAAACGTATTTGCCTAATCCTTTTTATGATGTACTTTTGCCATAAAAAACAGAACAAGCGTGTTATTCAACTTCTTATGACCCCTAAGTGTGAGAGAGAACTCCTTAACATTGCAATTTTATTTATTTATTTATTTATTATATATGCATATTATTAGTGTGCACTAATTATGTATTGTGAATCTTTTAAAATTGTTTTATTAAAATAAAATAAGTGGAAGCTGCCAAAACTTATTTTTCTCTGATTGGAATCCTGGTTCTGGTTCTGGGACTAAGATGCAAATAACAAGACATACAAAAGGCAATAAAAAGCATGATATGATATGTGGAATTAGAATTGTATTAGAAGAGACAGACCAAGAAAGCATAGGTGCCTTACAGAGTGGGAAGGGGAAACTAGTAATGGACAATGTGGAGAAGGTTGAAAGGTTTTATGCCTTTAAGTCATCCTTCAAAACAGATTGATTGTCAGATCACAAGCTCAGTTAGCAGTGAGAATAGATAACCAACCTAGTATAGGGAGAGAACTGGTTAGAGATTGCTTAGGCTGGATGCTTTCAAATCAGTAGAACAGAATAGTTCTGGGATGGGGATGGGGAAAATGGGGCATGTAGTGATGGTAGAGACCTCACTGCACACCTGCAGTAGGCTCACTGTGCATGTGTGTGATGGCTGAGACCAGAGCTCTCACTAGTGCACTGGCAGTGAATGTGGGTGTGACTCCACCCCTGGTAGGACTCGATGAGAGTCATCCTGTAGCGCACAGAGATGGCCAAGATAATTGCAAAGGCATTGGCTATTGCTTTGTGAGAACTCACAGAGACTAGGTGAAGTTTCAGAAGATTGGAAAAAGGCAAGAATAGTGTGTATGTAGTGTATATGTATATATCCACACACTTTGGTTAGTTTCTAAGGAGCAAATCTACCTGCCTTCTGTATCAGCTCAGTTGGACAATCTCTTTTCTCATACTGAGTTTTGTGAACTGATCCTCCCACATGGTTGAGGCAGTTTTTACTACCTGGATTTGATATTTTTGTTTGTCCATCAAAAACCCTTACTTTGTTTAAGAGACTTCATACCACTTGACAACAGAAACTTCTTTCACCCAAATCTTGCTTCCCTGTATCATACAGCCTGAGTTTAGATGACAGACATAGATATTAGATCTGAGAAAGCACTTCCAAAAATAAAAAATGTTTTTTGTTTGCATTTTTGAGCATATAGTGGTTTTAATCTAATTGAAAGAAGTATTTAAATGCAGTAATTTTGAATCAAAATATTTTCATTAGGAAATGTTGAAGTATCTTTGACTCTTCTTTTTCTTTTTTTCAATTAAGCTTTTTGAGATCAGTTATAAATCTGCAAAACTTTCTGGTATTCAGTTTTTCATTTTTCTTTGAAAAGTTACAGCCAAAAAACCCTCAACCATCCAGCTCTATTAGAGTTCTTGTTCCTTAGGTGTAAGGAATAGTTTTATCTGGAATAGATTATTTTGGTAGAATCTTTCCTATGCTGCTGTGTGAGAAAAGGAAGGCTTCCAGAAAACTAATCTATGCGCACTTTTACACATGCAAGCGCCACAGTGCTGGGCACTCTAAAAGGCACCTGGCGCTGCAATGCTCACAGTTATATAAGCGGTGAAATGTGTGTCAGCCAGTGCTGGATTTAGGTTTAAAATAATTAAGCTACAGCTTAGGGCCTCACAATATGAGGGGCCTCGAAATAAGAAAAAAAATACCTGGAAATTTTCATTTTAATATGACAAAAATATCTATCTCTAGATATACAGAAACATAAAGGGCTTAGTCTGTTTGTCTGTATCTGTCTGCAATGCTCATGGGGGGTGTGGCTCCAGCCAGTGCTGCATTGAAGGGTGGGGATGGAGCGCTGCCACCCACCACCCGCACAGAGGTGGGGGGCGGGGGGAGGCTTGTTGCGCAGCTGGATGCAGAGCAGGGGGTGGGAGTGGCACGAGGTCAGCTGCAGAGTGGCAGCAGTGCAGGGCGGTGGGTAGCAGCAGCAGCTGCTGCATGCAAGCTTCCCTCTTTCTTCCCCCCCTGCCCCTGGCTCCTGGGAAGTGGCGATGGCGTGGGGGGGTGGGTGGTAGTGCTCTGTCTTCCCCCCCCACCATTCTTGATGGGCAGTTCGCTAGAACATATGTATGGTTCCCTAGTTATTATTCATATTGAGTTCATAAATTTGTACAGAAATAACAATAATTCATCTTAAAATTTCATAAAAATCATTTTTTGTGGATTATTTTCGTCGTATGGGGCCTCTTAAGCTGGACATATTTTAGCATGCCTCAGCATGTCATGATCCAGCACTGGTGTCAGCACAGAAAATGGTGGTGGTGGTGCGCTTTTGAACTAAAACACGTAGAAGGTGCTTTAGTTCAAAAGTGCACTACCTCCATTTTCTGTGTGCTGATACCCATTTCGCCGTTTATACAACTGCATGCAGCACAGCGCAGTTCATATCGGCTCGTGTGCAGAGCAGACTCCATTAATCAAATCTGCTCCAAAGCAGAGGCTCTCTGGTCCTTCATGGGACAAAAAAGTATGTGTATCCTATGTTCCTAAGTGGGAAGAGATTCAAGATTTGGTGTGAACAGTGTTGGCTTCAAGATCTTCACTAATATCTTGGGCTCTTGAGCTCTACAGAGAATAGGGATGCTCTGTTGGAGCACATTAGCAACTATTTCTACATATCTTCCTCTCACTGGAAGCTACAGTTTTTCCCACCCTGCTACACTCAGTTCCTTAATGACTTTATTTATACATCTTCACTAGTTCATGTATCTGCATTAGAGGATCTGATTGGGCTTGTGGCATGTCTCACCCTTGTTTTTGAAACCCCAACAGCCTATTCCCTATTGCACTTACCTATGAAAACTTACTTTTTGCACTATGAAAACTTACTTTGGCACGTTCATCAGCTAGAACTGTGGGGAAATAATGTGTAAACTCCTTCCCTGTACTGCATTCCTTAGGGGATGAAGTAATCTCTCAAGCACAAAGTGCTAACCAAAGTGATTATGGGCATTTAAGCCAAATGAAGTTATTCAGCAATATATTTTCCCAAACTACATAGTAAACAAGGGAAAGGTAAGCAGATATGAGATGTGCAACAGGCCCCCTGCTATTTACAAAGGTACAAATGCTTCAAGATTTCCCATAGACACTAATAGCATTTGGCATGAGAATGAAGGATTGGGCAATATCAACCCAGAGGCTGTCCAAGTGGGTACTGTGCTATATTAAATTCCCCAGATTAGCGAAGGGTTCATTTCCACAAAGGCTCAGGCAGATTCTTTGACTTCCTTGTAGGTTCAGTGTACCCTTTTCAGACATCTGCCAAGCAGCTACTTGGAGTTCAAGCCATACTTTTACTAAATGTTATTCCTCAGTAGAAGTATTCAAACCTGATGCTGCTTTGGCAGAATTCCACTATTGTCTCTATTTAATTGAACCCTCAGCTCCAGCTTCTTTCATCAGATTACTGCTTGTGGGTCACCAAGGGTGGAAAAGCAAGCCCTTGAAGGATGAAAAAGTAATATGTCTTATAATATCTAGAGTGATTCAAGTTATATTATCCATATATAAGCCAAAAGCTGCTCTCCTTCCCTGCTACTGTGGGATCTCATAAGATTCTATGGTGGCTTAGAAACTGAGTAATGTTTAGGCCTTTTGGGCATTTTTACATGTGCACCTGATGTGGAGCTGGGCGCTTTTAATTAGGAAGCCGCGCTAATTGAAAGCTCCTGGCACTGCGTCAGAAGCACCTGTATCAGCAGCATAACGCACCTCTGTGCTGAGAAAATGGCAGCAGTGCACTTTGAACTAAAGCACATCAAACATGTTTTAGTTCAAAGCTCACTGCCGCCATTTTCTCAACGTGGAAGCGTGCTGTGCCACTGATACATGTGACGGGTGAGGCTGTGTGGTCCAACAGATTCAATTGTCTGCTCCGACATGCTGGATTTCCAGCACATTGGAGCAGGCTCCCTGTGTGCATCCAAATGAATATTGCTGCCCCAAAGAATGTTGTTGAGCATATGCAATGTTTGTATGTTGAGTATGGAGTATGCCTGGAAAAGTTAGTCTGTTGTTAGGTAACTTTTTTGGTATCCCAAACTGCTTACATACTTCTCTCATTCCCCCTTATGTAATCTAAGATTTTTAATTGTTATATTTAAATGTTTTATTTAGGATCTCACGTGGTCATGGATTGTAAAGTATCAAGTGGCTTAGATGGCTTGACTCCTTACTGGCAAGTCAATGACAGTGATGTTGATTTTTTTGATAACACATACAAGGAAGAGTTCTACGAGTAAGTATTTTTGCACATTAAATTGCACATGGATTGCTAAGATGCATTAAATTATTTGCTGTGAATCAGTTCACTAGCTGTGAATCTACCTTGTGATCATTATTGGCTGCAGCTATCCAAATTGTAGGACATAAAAAGTAAGATGAAACATTCTTGACACTCACCTGGTTTCCAGTAAAGAGGAAAGAGTTGAAAGTTCTCTGCAGTATAAATCAACACTATTTTCTAAACCAGTTCAGTGCATTTCCAGCCAACAATAAATGGTTATGGTCTTTTAAGATTAAAGTAGTTAAATGAGCTGATCTTGTAAAAAAATGTATTTCATAGAATAGGGGTTTTCAACCAGGGGTACATGTACTTTGGAAGGAAGCAATACAAAGAAGCCAGAGGCACTTCCAGTTTCGCCAGCAGCATTTCAAGTTTTGCTGCTGCCTGTGGGGGAGTTCTTCTCTGGCAACTCATTGACTGGCTGCTAGGGGACTGCTCCCCCATCTGGTCGGCCAGACGCCAGGGGACTCCCTGCTTCTTGACTGGCTGCCAGGGGTACCCTGACCAAAAAAGGTTGAAAACCTTAATAGAGTATTTCCTTTCATTATTTTGGGAAGTTCAAGTAAAGGTTGACCTTCATCTTAGGAAAACTGTTTATAAGTTTAATTTTACTTTTTCTGCAAGCTCCTTCTAGACAAGGAGCTTTCTGTTGCACTATAGTTTCATGCATTTTGGTCACTCGCCTCTAAGCCTTGTTGTCTTACATTTTGTTCAGGGTAAAAACTAAGACACTAATACATCCATTATTTTGTGCCTTGGCCAAAAAAGTGGCAGAGTAAATTAGTAGATATGGAGCTCTTTGCCTCCATGGCTAGGGGCATTTATACACGTGCTTTTTTGTTCCGTGATGTACCGGAGATCTGCCGCTCGGAGCAGACTTGATTAATCAAGTCTGCTCCAACCGCGAGCTGATGTGAACTGTGCTATGCTGCGTGCAGTTGTTGTATAAGCAGCAAAATGCACGTCCATGCGTAGAAAATGGCGGCAGTGCACTTTTGAACTAAACCACCTTCTATATGTTTTTAGTTCAAAAGTGCACCGACTTCTTAGCACTTCTTAGCACTTATTTCTTAGCACTGACGCGCATTTCGCTGCTTATACAACTGCAAGCATTATGGCACCCAGCCCTGTGGCACTTGATTGTGTAAAAATGCCCTAGGTGGCTACAGTTTGTAGTATAGACAGAAGTCTGTAGTTGGCTTCATGTAAGCTTTGGATGTGGGATGTGGGAACCTAAGTTTCCCGTGTTTCAGATGAGTACCCTGACGGTTTGAAGGAAGGTGCATTTGAGAGTTTCGTTTTCATCTGCATCTTCTGGAACTCCTATTCTAGACCTGAGAAACATTTTCTGAAGAATGTATGTATTTTTCTTTGACTTAATTAGCATTTTCCCCCCTCCTGTAACCTCCACATTTTCTAAAAAATTAATGGGAAATACCCAATAAACTCTAGTCTTGAATCCCAATATCAGAGAGCTAATGTTTGCTCGCAAGCAATCTGAATTTGCGTAATACATTTTTTGAGGTGAAAAATTAATTTTATTATATTTGCAGACACACTGAACTCTTAATGCTTAATTTACTTATTGGTATTTTATTTCTTATGATGGTAGGAAACAGTCTCCCCATGGACTACTTATAGCTGGAGCAAAATTCAACATCTCAAAAGTGACCAACAAAGATTACTTGTATAAATTTTTCTGTCATGTTTTTTATCCCCATGGACATGCTACAGTATACATCAAACTAGAACACCCAGGTAAGGCTCAGCATTATTTCAATAATTACAGTTCTTACCTGATAAATTAACTTGAAGGGAACAATTCAGTAAAATGGTTGACACTAGCTGAATTCAGCTGCACAAAATAACTTTTGATTAAATAGGACTGATATGTTGTAATTATATACGTGTGGTAGCTAATCCATTAAAAATCCTTGTTGTTGCCAGATTTAAATAATTTTATTTAAATTTATTAAATCCTGAACTTAAAAAAAATCATTCTCTTATAAATTATTAATGGAACACTTTTTTCTGTCAATATCTTAAAGCAAACATATAATTTAGCATTTTTTTAGACACAGCTTCTGGAGAGAGAATCCAGAGGAGAGCCACCCATATGATCAAAGGCCAAGAGAGCAAGCCTTACGAGGAGAGGCTGAGGGACATGGGACTCTTCAGCCAGAAGAGAAGGCTCAGGGGAACTTGGTGGCTGCCTATGAGTATAGAAGGGGGGTGCACCAGGATCTGGGAGAACACTTGTTCACCAGGGCTCCCCAAGGGATAACTAGATGTAATGGCCACAAACTTCTAGAAAGCCTATTCAGACTCGGTATAAGGAATAACTTCTTCTTTATAGTCTGAGTATCCAACATCTGGAACAGACTCTCCACAGAGGTGGTGCAAACACCTACTCTGGACTCATTCAAAAGGTGTTTGGATGTTTATCTTGCTGGGATTATTTGATCCCTGCAGAAGTCCTGCCTACGGTGTGTGGGATGGACTCGATCTCATGAGGGTCCCTTCCAGCCCCTGATGTTTATGAAATCTAGTAAACTTACCACTTATGGGTTGGGATGCTCGCTGCCTTTTTCTCTCTAGAGATTTAATATCCCTGGTCACATTTGACTTTCCCTGTCTTATTTTTGTTAAAGGCTGTTTAAGTGATGGTCTATGAGGGGTTAAATTTTGGCCAGCGAGGCTTGTCGTTGTTGCAGTCAATGATGCTGCATTGTCACAGCTTAGGATCCCAAGGGTGAATGCCACCATTGCTTTCACCTCCATCTCCTTGCCGGCTACCACATTTGGAATCTTTGGACACTCAACTCAAATTGCTAGCAACTCCAATAGACAACAGGGGAAATGGTTGGGGAGGCAGGGGGAGGAAGTGGTGGCAGTGTTCTTCCTCTGGGTTCAAAAGCTGCTCCAGCAGCCATGGTGACAAGCCACCACTTCACTACCAGGGACAGGTGGCAGGGTGGGAACAGGAACTGGAGCAGAGGCTAGGGAGCAGGTGGCAAATGGGACAGAGGGAAGGTGGGTCAGGCACAAACATGGGATGCAAGTGGCAGGGGGGTCACATGGTGGGTGGACAGGGGCAAGAGCTGGGGAGAGACACTGAGGGGTCAGACAGCATGGGGGGTGGCAGGCATAGGCAAGGGGGCAGGGATCTGTTGTTATTCCTGCCACAGCAGTGCAGGGGACAGACTTTAAGATGACCCACCAACAATTAGATTATATATATATATGGAAAATCAGAACAAATTTATAATTTTCCATGTATAGAATCTAATTATTTGGGGGGGGGGGGGATCATCTTAAATTTAAAACCATCTTGGATTTGGATAAATATGGTCATACTTTAAAGACACAGAGTGCTACAGTTTCTCTGTACTGTCTTTTTCATAAAAAACTTGTGGAAATAGGTATCATGACAACAAGAAGTTTAAATGATTCCAGAATGTAACAAGTGGGTGTCCCTGGGCCGATCTAATCGTTGGCCTGCCCACTTGTCACCCACCTTCTTCACCTGCCATACCTTGATGATAATGATTGAGATGTCAATCAGGTGTGGGGCTGCCCATTTACTTGCCCTGATGCCAAGAGCCCCTGTACACGGCTCCGACCTCTCTCCATTTCCCATGCCTCGCAGATGGCATCCATGGCCTGACACCCAGTCTTATCCTGGGCTCCAAGCTCCCACTCTGGGCTCTAAGCCCCATCCCCTGCCTTATCCTAGGCTCATAATCCCTCTCATCCACAGTGTTGTGAGCAGCAGTTCTACCCAGTGGTGTCCTTCTGGCTGCCAGCAGCAGACTGCTGGCTTTGCTGCTCAGGGCCCTGCTCTTATAGGAAACATTTGGGCCCTGTTCCCAATCAGTTAATTATACCTGATTGGGGTTGCAGCCACCTGCCCACTGCTTGGCTGCTTTGCTGCTGCCCATGCCCCTCTGAGTAACAAAGCTCACCCTAAACTCTGTTACACAGAAATTTGAAGGATCCCAAAGTACACATCAAATGCAGATACTTGCAGGTTAGATAAAACATTCATTTGGGATTGTTTGGGCAGAGATGATCCTGCTTGGACTAGATGAGCTCTTGGGGTCTCTTCCAGCTCTGTCTTTTCTATGATTATATCATCATGAGAAACTTCTCACGTTTAAAGACACTGCATCAGACAAAAACACCTTCCCAAGCACTCTGTGTGTGTGTAGGAGACTAAACATATCCCACACTAGAGACAACATAAATTTCATGAGAATTTAGCCTACAAGGGACACTGCATCTCTTTGGGATGTTTTCTGACTGTGCGATCTACTTGACCTCTCTCTTAGAGATGTGATCGTACTAATCCATGTTATAGAAACATCGTAGAATTTTTTTCTAGAATTTATTGAAATTTTCTCTCGACTTTTGTAGTTAATGCTACAAAATCACTATTTGTAGCTGGTCCTAATATCCTCCTCTTACTATTTAAAACTCTGTTAAAAATTGGGTGCCTAAAATTATACTCCTAAAACCATATTTAGTCATGTAAATGTGGCTTGTTTTCATAGGTCCTGTGTTCCTGGAGGTCTGACTGAAGTTAGGAGGATTTTTTTTTTTGCTTATTGATGCTTATATTATTGTGTGCTAGAAACCTCTACCATATTGGGCACATGTTGTCCTAGAAACTGTGCAGTCGATTAGTAAATGATAGTCGCTTCCCTAAAGAGTGTTCAGCCTAGTGGAGAACCAATAGAACACATTCATATGTTCCTCTTTATCTTATTGTTTTTCCACAGTTGTGCTACTTTTTAACAACAGAAGCTTGTATGAGAATGTAGGTTTAGCTGTTGTATATTAAAAAAAAAATACTGGAATTTTGTGTTGAGTTGGAAAATAGGATTTGAGAGTTATTTTTTGACTGGAAGGCGTCCTCCATTGGGACTAGATGGCAAGCATTCTAACTTTAGTAGACTATCTGCCAGTAATAGTCCTTGTTGAAGCAATACAGGGCAAATCCACAGTTTTGTTTGCTGATTATTCATTCTGAATCCTTGTGCAGGTAGGTAGTTTGAAGAAAGATTGCTAGAATTGACAAGAAGTTTTATGTTTGACGCATGCCACAGTTCCAATTTATATATTTTTTTCTCCCCCTTTCTATTGCAGTTCCAAATATTCATGGATACCTGATTGGAGGAGGAGTTTCATCGGTGTTTGTAATAGTTTTAGCTATGGTTATTTACAAGTTTTTCAAAATTGACATTGTGCTCTGGTACCGGAAATCCTGTCATATTTTCCTGTTTAAAAAAGGTTGGTCTGTGTATCCATATCATTATGTGTTGAGACTATAGGCCATGTTTTCAATAGAACAAACTCTGCATAATGGACAATAAATGCAAATGACCTTAGTGGAACGTCAGTAATCTTATTAGAGATTATTTAAAGTGAATGACATATTTTGATTATGTTTGAAAATTAATGTAAATATTTCAGACTTCTAAGGCAGGGGTGTTATTGTAACTGTGCCAGACCAGTATTTAGCTTAGGATGGATCTGCTTCTTCCTCAGATATGAAAGACGCTTGTGTTTGAAAGCTTGTTGCAGAGAGGAAAATACAGGTTTCATTGCAGCTACTTGATATGAGTAGCCAGAACTCGCATGTAAATAAAGCTTTGCTTATATCATTCTTCAGACAAGTGGGCTATGGTGCAATCCGTATAACTTCCGTGGTCCACTCCTACCTCTGAGTTCTACTTAACACTTGCCTACCATCTCTCCCAGCTACATACTCGATCCAATAAAAGACATCACCAAAACAAACTTTGCCCCTCAGACTTTTAAATCATTTAAATAGCAGTCTCCGTCCATTAGGCAGAGAAGTAGTCACTGGCTTATGTACTTTGGTAGTATCAGCCAGCTCTTTCGGAAATCTAGACTTCATCCTAATCGGCATATTGCTCACTGCCGTAGAAGTTGCTGAAGTATGCTTCTTTCATACAATATGTACTCAACGCTGCACAGCAATGGTTTACCATGTTTTTAATTACTAATCTTATAAGAGCAATAACAGATCATATGAACATATATTTTTATGAATGCAGGAAAGGACAAATGAAAATGTCTGCCTGAAGCCTGTTCTCTCGCATCCATAGTTTTCGTGATATTTTACTGTCTCTACATGCCTGGATTTCCATTAACATTAATGGGAGAGCAATGAGAGAACAGGCTGATGGTGTCTTGACCAATTATGAGTGCCTAAAAGGAAGTTTACTGTCATAGAAGTAAAATGCATTTATTTAAGTGCATTGGGGTTGTTACTGGCATTATGTAAAATTTATTAAATTTAGCCTATTGTAACATTTGCTTAAAATAATTTATTTTCCAGATCTTAAAATATTGGGGATTTTTTGTGGGCAGAGGTGGAGGGTTTTTCGACTGGGGGTGGGTTGATGTTTCTCTTTTTTTAGATTTGGTCATAAAGAGTAAACATCTAGGTATATACAACGTTTGAATGTAAATTAATTTGAGGTATTGTAACAATTAAATTCCAAATACTTGGTGATATTGCATTTATTTAGCAGAGAAAAAAGAATGTTTGAAGGTAGTCAGCTTTAAAGCTTTTTGTTGTCTTAGTCTTCAGTTTTCAAACTTGACTATAGTTATTTCTATTTTTATTTACACTGCTGTCTTTTTAATTACAGGATTAGGAACCAAAGCAGTGTAAAGGGCAGGGAAACTATCATTTTCCTAGAACATCTTGTTGATCTTAATCATATTCTCACACTTCAGTTTCAGATGGGAAGCTCTATGATGCATATGTTCTTTATCCAAAAAATCAAGTAAGCTGCATCTACTCACCAGATATTTTTGCACTGAAGATACTGCCAGAAGTTTTAGAGAGGCAGTGTGGCTATAATCTCTTCATATTGGGAAGGGATGATTTACCAGGGGAAGGTAAGCTCTTTAAAATTGGAATATCAATGTTTTCTTTCACTGGCTTCAAATGTAAGCTTCAAGGATAATTGAAACATGAGGTAATGAAACCTGTGTGCTGATATTGCATGTGCAGGCCTTGTTATTCCCATGCCTCCTTTTCATGGGCAGTATGGGACCACTGTAGTAGGTGCTTTAGCTGCTCCAGTGCTTTTTCCTGCTCAGTTATCTGCTTCTCTCTTCCTATTAATGGTGAGGTTGTTCGCCCTGTTTGTCTGAAGTCAGTGCTGCCTTTCCATTACCATGCAACTAGCTTGGAGCAGCTGGGAGTAGAGAGCTGATAAGAGGGAAAACAGGAGCAATCCTTGAGGCTGACGAGAGATAACCAAGTGGAAAATAAGGATGGTGGGAAGGGCATATGGTGTGCAAATCACTATAAAGTGTCTATACTTCTGGTGGAAATGCCCTTTACTTTTCGCCTCTGGCAGAAGCCCATGCAGAGCAAATAAAACATGAGTGGTTCATCTGGAAAAATGTGATATGCACAGATTTTGTTTTCCTCAGTATCATGAGGTCACTGTGATCAGAACAATGTTCTGCAATTGTCTTTATAATAAAAGAAATTCTGGAGAAATCCTTTAAAAAAAATATTCTGACAGATTTAAGGTACAGAAAGGTACCTGGTGCTGAAAGCTAGGAGAAATCTACTGGTTTCCTGAGGAAAAGGGGTGTGTGGAGATACTCAGACTTGCTTGTGGACTATTTTATGTAATGCTTACAAAACTATCTGGGCCACTCTAAGATTATTAAGAATGAAGTTTAAAATTCCACATCTGTTAACTGCAAATTGTTTGAATAAATGTTATTTCAGGAAATATCTTATTTTCTTGTATACAACACAGAATAAAATACACACCTTGCTTTTGAAAGGCAGAATGAAGAGAAAAAAAAATCTTTCTTTGTAGTAAGTAACTGAATAGCAGCAGCTAGGGAACCAAGCCTGATCATTGTTTTGCTCCCTGTGGATCACTGCAGATTACTTTTGCTTTTCCCAGTAAGCAGCAGAACCTGCTCTTACCATATTTCTTGCATATAATGTGCACTGATATTACCAGTGACTGTTTTTTGGGGAAAATGTGCATGTTTATGTGAGAAAAAGTATAGTGTTTATGACTGGACCCACTTCCTATCACAAATGAGACTGAAGTTGATTCCTTAGTCTCAGTTCCTTAATCTTGGTTCCTGGTTCCTTTTTCAAAGCTAATCGTTACACAATTAAAGGTTGATAGTAATTAATTAGGCATGTTAAAGACATAGAATTTCATAAAAAATATATATTTAAGATTAAAATGTAAAATCATATATAAAGTACATGGCCCTGAATGAAGAGCTGAGATTAGGCTGGGATTACGGGGCAAAATACTGTTTGGGTCACCCAAAACCACACCTCTCCATGGCTGGAGAATGCTTCTGAACAAGTCGGAGCAGGAGTCATCCCAACCTGACGCTTGGTTTTTATTTGCCAGTCTCCCACCTGGCAGCCTCCCAGAGCTGTGTGCAATGCACATTGCCTCAAAGAAAGAGCTGAGTTTGGGCTGGGATTATGGGACAAAACCCACTTTGGGTCACCACAAACCATATGTCTCTATGCCTGGGGGACTGTCCTGAAGAAGTCTGGGCAAGTCCCAGCCTGACACGAAGCTCATGGTCCCAGCCTGACACGAAGCTCATGGTGGCCTACTAACCAATGGCCCCCCAGGCCTGTGTGTATTTATATAGCACTGAAAAAGAAGTTGAATTTGGGCTGTGATTATGGGTGAAAGTCCTTTTTTGGGTTATCCCAAACCACAGGTCTCTGCCACTGGGAGATTCTCCCAAAGAAACCTGGGTAGGGTGCTGCCCAACCTGAAGTTCAGTCTTTGTGTTCCAGTATCCTAATGGACAGCCCTCAGATCAGTGTGCTATGTACATTGCCCTGAATAAGGAGCTGCATCTCAGCTAGGATTGTGGGACAAAATCTGTTTCAGGTCACCCAAAAACACACTTTTCCATCATGGGGGATCTCTTCTGAACAAGTGTGGGCAGGCTCCTGCCTGACCCAAAGCACAGTTTTCACATGCCAACCTACCAAGGTACGGCCCCCCAGGCCTGAAAGCTGTGTATGTAACCCTGAATATTTTTTGCATACTAGCCAGCCAGTCTACCGGCCCCCCAGGCCTGTGTGCTAGTTACAAAACACTGAATAAGGAGCTGAGTTAGTCTGGGATTACTGGGCAAAATCCTTTTAGGGTCACCTCAAAGCAAATCTCTGCCATGAGGGGGACTTTCGTGAGCAAGTCTGGGCAGGGCACTGCTGGACCAGAAGCCCATATCTTGAGTAGCTGCTGACCTGTTGACAGCCCCCCAGGGCTGTGTGCCATGTACATTGCCCTGAATATGGAGCTGTATTTGGGATGGGATTTTGGGGCAAAATCCTTTTTGGGTCACCCCAAAACATATGTCTCTACCACTGGGAGACTGATGAAGAAGACTGGGCAGGCCCCTGCCTGACCTGAAGCGTGGTTTTTGCTTGCTAGCCTGTCAGTTCATGCTCCAACAGGCCTGTGCGCCATGGATAAGGAGGTGAGTTTGGCTGGGATTATGGTGCAAAACCCCCAAACTACACATCTCTGTCACTGGGGGATTCTTCTGAAAAATCCTGTGCAGAGCACTGCCTGACTGGAAGGGTGATTTTTCACATGCCAGCCTGCCAACTGACAGGCTCCCCAGGTCTGTGTGCTATGTAGATAGCCCAGAATAAAGAGCTGAATTTAGGCATGGAGGAGTGACAGAGACTCCCAGCAGTGTGGGGGAGCAGTGGAGACCCCCAGCAGTAACTGAGTTAGGTGGTGACTCCCCAGTTTGCTTTGCTGCTAACTGACTGTGATCAATTTTGAGCTACTGTTAAACATCAGTAGTTAAGGTTTTGCTTAGGGTGTACCCTTGGTCCCCTTTTCTTTTGTAATAAACCTGTTTTAATTTAACACTTGCTTGTGAGTGGGTAGGTTTGTTTAGATTTTGGGTCTGAACAACCCAGTTCAAATTTACGTTACTGAGTTTCTGGGTTGGGGCTTGAGATAAATTTGAAAGTTGGTGTAAAACCCCTATATTTGTATACAGCTATTCTACTACTGTCCAGCGCCTGGCAGAACAGCAGCATACAGGCCTTATGGAGTGGGTGTCAACTGGCAGGCTGGCACTCAAAAACCTGAGTTTCAGTTTCAAGCAGGGACCTGCTCAGGCTTCTTCAGGAGAGTCCTTCAGTGGTGATGTTTTGGGTGATCCAAAATGGATTTTGCCCCATAATCGTAGCCTAAAAGCAGCTTCTTATCAGTAGCAATGTAAATAGCACACAGATCTGGGGGCTGTCAGTTGGCAGGCTGGCACATGAAAACCAAGCTTTGGGTCAGGTAGTGCCATGCTTAGATTTCTTCAGAAGAGTCCGCCAGTGCCAGTGATGTGTGGTTTGGGGTAACCCAAAGAGGATTTTTCCTTATAATCCCAGCCTAATCTCACCTCTTTATTAGGGGCCACGTACTTGATGCATGATATTATTTTACAAGTTTATTAGTAAATATATACCTTTGATGAATCTAAGTATTTAGCTAGGGATGTGAAAGATTCAATTATTAATTGTTTAACCAATAAGATGAGTGATAATCAATTTTACCAGTTATTGTTTAGCTCAGGTGGGAGCAGTGTGGCAGGGGAGGGGGGGAAGGGAACCCTTGCAGTGCCTGGGTAAGGACCAGAAGGTGGCAGGGCAGGCAGGAGGAAGGGAGGGAGTACCAAGGAGGAGGAGAGGGGGAGCAAACAAGAGCAAGGAGGGGGACTAGTACTCATAGCCTAAGAGGAAAACAGCAGGTGGCCTAACGACTCCTCAATGAATCAGCCGCTCCTTCAAAGATGTGCCCTTCCTCCCATTTCTGGGCTTCACGTGGTCTGTGGCTGGGCTTGCCATTGCTGCTCCTCCCCTCCCCCTATCAAAGTGGCTCCCGGAAGCAGCCATGTCTGAGCTGCTGTGTTATTAATAGAAATACCGGTTTTCTATTCGTTGCGGAACGAATGTGGATTTTCTCATTTGAAGGAGACAAGTGTAGATTTTCTCTCTTTAAGGAGAAAAACACGGATTTTCCTCCTTAAAAAAGAAAACAGTTGGAAACTATGGGTTTCCCCTTGCAATGTTCCAGCCTGCAAAGAGCTGCTTAGGGCTGGGGAAATGGGGGAGGCCGGTTGGAGGCAGGGGGTGTCACATGTATATGTGTGTGCACACGCATGTGGCCAGCATACAGCCAGGCAGGGTGGTGGAAACAGCCCTGGCAGCTGGATGCAGGTTAGTCTATGGGGGGCAGGGGTTGGAGACTAGAGCTTGGGGACTGTCCACGGGATTGTGTCGGGTGGGAGCGACTCCTGTCACTGTGCACCCTGGAAAGGCACGGGGTGGTGGTGCTTGTGCTCTCGGATCTGTGCAGAGCGGGGGCGGGTGGGCGAGATTCAGCTGCTGGCTGAAGCTGAGGCTGTTCCGGGCTTCTCCCAAATTTTGCTGTAGCCCCACTCCCAGTGCCGCTGCCGCCTGTCTGGTGCAGCCCCGGCTCTTCCCAGCATGTGAGGGAAGGCAGGGGTTGAGCCGGGGCTGCGCTGGGCAGGCAGTGGTAGCACCGGGTGTAGGGCTATGGGGTGGTTGCAGCCCCCCTTCTAGCATTGCTGTCATCTGCCCCAAGCCCAGCTTCCACCAAGAAGAGCCTGGAGCAGCTCTGGCTCCAGCCTGCAGATGCAGCTTGCCTGCCCGCCCGCTCCATGCAGATCCAGGGTCACACCCCACCGGGGTGCACGCAGCAGTGGAAGCCACCCCCCCGCCCACCTGACAAGCCGCAGCTCTGCCCTGTGCCCCGGATCACCCTGGCTGGGCAGCACCTGCCCCTGCCCCCTCAGTCCCTCACTGCAGGGGGCATTGATCTGTCCCCGTCCCCCCGCACCTCCCCTTCCACAACAACAGACTTACCAGCTGCACACAGCTGTATCGGAAATTGGATCAGTATCAGCCAATATGCTTAGTTAAATATATCAGCTGTTGGTATCGGCCCCCAAAATCTCTATCAGTGCACCCCTAATGGAATGATACTCCATGTGGGGCAGAAAGAGGGGTTGTTTTTCTTTTCTATTCTGATTTAACAGTCTAAGTTAATCTCAAAGTCTAGCAATTTGCTTAGGGTTGTAAAAGCATTTCTAAATTACCAAAGTTTCAAGCCGTATCTGTGGCAGAAGACCTTCTTAGGAACATAGAGCACTTATTTTACTACTTGAGTATTCATGTTGGTTGTCATGGGACTACTGCGCAGTAGCATTGTGTGGCTATTGTGCAGCAGTCATGAATTACTTACACAGTCATCATCACAAAACAGCTGTTCTTTGGCATGACTGCAGATGCAGCCATGGGGTGCATCTCTGTGGCATAGATCAGCTGGTGTGTTTTGGGTGCGATTCCTAGGGCTTTCTAATATTGGCAGCAGAGTCTGCTCAAAACTGTGCGCTTGGGGAGGGTCCTTTGCTTTGAAATGCATTACTGTCAACTGTCTACCAAAATTGAGCATTCATCTAAAATTGTGCCTTAGGGATGGGCACAATTTAGAGACCAAATATTTTGCTTTAGTTTTCCTTTCATAGAAATTTTAGCTTTTACATGTTTGGCTTGTTCCTGACACTGGTTCCAGTATGTTTCATAACAATTGGTAGCTTCAGCCAAAACTGCATGTGGAACAGCACATTTTATTTTTGTAAATAAGATCAGCTGGGTATAGTCATGGGTACAATAGCTATAAATAAAAACTAGCCAGGCATTTGTTTAGATACTTAAGCAGCCAAAACAGGAAAATAACAAACAGCCTTTATGTTTCTGAAGGAGTTGAAAATCTTTTTTTCTTCCTCTGATTACAGCTGTGATCAATGTTGTTGATGAAACAATCCACAGAAGCAGAAGAATTATAATTGTTTTAATACCAGAATCATCCTGTTACAATGTGTTAGAAGATACTTCAGAACAGCAACTGGCTGTGTATAATGCTCTTATCCGTGATGGAATTAAAGTGATTCTGATTGAACTCAGTAAAATAAAGGACTACGCAAGCATGCCCGAATCCATCAGATATGTTAAGGGAAAACATGGGGCCATCCGATGGAAAGGGGACTTTTCTGAGAGATCTCATTCAGCAAATACAACATTCTGGAAAAATGTACGATACCAAATGCCACCCAGAGCAAATGTGGCTTTCTCAGAACAACATTTGTTACCAAAAACTTTTAGTTCTCTCCAAACACCAGTATTGGAAAGATGACACTAATGTTCAATTTCAATGGCTGCTAGCAGTCCTATTTTTAATGCTTTTAAATGAAGGATATTTGTGTGTATGTGTTTATATACAGGCCATCTCATTTGGAGGCTTTGAGGATTGAAGATGTCATATTATCTTCCTCTAAAGTTACGAAATGGTGACTGACTGACTGGTTATCCTTTCTTCTGACCAAAACAGCAGCACGTGTTGAATCGTTACATCAATAGTGCAGTGATGACACTGTAATAAGCACAGCAGGACTTCTTGAAGACAGAACATTTTTGTAAAGGAAGAAAATATTGTTTGCATTTTTAGAACATCCACTTTGGAAAATTTAAAAAAGGAAACACATGAAGGAAATTGTTTTATATCCAAACTTTTTAATACCTGAAGCCAGTTGTTTTGGTTGAAATAAAATGTTACAGTTGCTGCCATTTATTAATCACTGCCTCATTTAGTCTGGTGCAACATGAATCTTTGTACTCCTGACATCACTGTGATATCTTCCTAGGGGAGGAAGAAGAGAACACAAGAAAGGAACATTGTTTTAGCCTATTAAAGAATGCTTTGCCCTCTTAACATCCTCCCTTGCTCTTCAACTAGTTAGTCTCTAGATCAGTACTTGTAACAGCAGGTGATGCAAGGCTACAAGGCTATTTTTTATTATAAATTCCTTTTCAGTCTAATGTTAAAAACATTCTTGGTCATTGCATAACGGTAACATTTTTTAGCATTGGTAGAATATGCACTTGGAACATTAAGGGGTATGGGTGTTCTAATGTACTTATGCACTTTAAAAATTGGTCAAAGTTTTTGCACAGGCACATCTCAGTTGGCCAGTTTTAAAATTCACATATGGCTGGACCCTAGTTAGTAACAGTTGCCATATACAGTCATTTTGAAAATAAAACTGAGCTTCTAAAATTCTGTACTGTGTCCCTAACCTTGGCTTTAAAAAAATAAAGTCAAATTCTACAAAATACAGTTGCTCAACTATTGTGGTATATATGACCCTTAATGTGTGGATAGTGATACAAGGTAAAATCTGTGGAGCTGTACAAACATACTTATGCACATTTCCAAAGTAAAGCAGGTGGGATTTTCTCTTTGGCTTTTGAAAAGTAAAAATCTAAATGCCACATTATTTTATTTGCATTTAATGAACAGGGAGATGGAAAGGTCAAATTTCCCACATTTTAGTAAAATGTATATTAAAATACATACTTCAAATTATCAAATTTACCCCTATGGAATTTTTTAGGTCTGCTTTTAAGTACTGTCAATGGACATCGCACTTGGAATGTCAGATATTTTCATACCTAATACAGAAGACTAAATTCTGACACTAAAAATCTGACTTTTAAAATTTGTTTACAGTTACTACTTAAAAGATATTTTTTCTACAAATCCATTGATTACCTAGGCTGAATTAAATATTTTCATAGACTGGATATAGAATAATCAGTATGGGATGCCTTGTGTCAAAGATGTGATGTCCACTGATTTATATTTTATGGATGATTTGGATGCAAGTTTTATAGAAAATGCCTTGGTTTATTTTCTGAATTTTCTGAATATATAAACTTGCTTCTTTTGCAGACTAATGTATATGTCAAATGTGATTTTTTCATTTTGGCTAATATGATTTTCATCATTCATTTGAGTAATTGCAAGTGATGACATGTTTGTGGGTTTTTTCTTTTAAATTTCAACATATACTGTATTGTATATATTAGTGCACTGGTGGTATCTTTTGTCCTTTCCTATTATCTACACTTCTCTTGAATTTTATGTTTGAGGCATCTCATTGAGGCTTTTGAGTTCAAGTTCTATTCTGGATGTAGATCAAAAGCCATCTGCAGTTGACACAGCTGTAAACGGGTACCTGGTCATTCAGGCTGGGGAGTTCAGTGTGTGGTGCTGGATTTGATGTTAGCCACCCACATATAAACTAATGATGTAGCCATAGAAACTGATGCTTCTTAATAGCAGTAGCCCAAAGGGGTGTTTTGCATTGGAAAGACCTTTGACTTGTCTAGTGTGATGATATTGGATCTTTAATGTATAACTTCCAGTCCTAGACAGCGCTCTCAATTTTTTAAGCATTCACTAAAACATAGAAACTGAACCTGTTGGTAGAAATCAGTGGCAACATCTCCTTCTGGCAATAGCCACTTTGGTCACTGATGTATAATATAAAAGCAGATGAGAGCACTGATTTGGGAGCTTTCATTATTACATTGTACTTTGTGTGCAGTCTTACAACCTAAATGTTGCTTTGTTTTTTTTGCATCTGTATGGAAGAAATACCACAGGTATAAAAGGGAAGGGCAAGGCAGAATGTTGCTCATGGGGAATTTTAACTTACATTTCTACTTACTGCTGTGTATGCAACTAGGTTAATCCAGGGAGAGTTAGGATACATGCTGAAGTAGCAGATATTTTTTTAACCTGTCTTTCGCTGGTGTTTCAACCTTGCTCTGGGTTGAATCTCTCAGTTCTCACTGGCATCAGTAATAAATGTACAACTGTGAAAGCTCTTGGCTTTATTTTATAGTCCAAACTTTGGGGATCTTTCCCACCATTGCTGTAGCACCATGCAGTGCCACTTGAGATAGCAATGATGCAGGTGCTAGTAAAGACACCTGCAGATGGCTTATATAAGAATACTAAGTCGGCTTATGATCCAGTGACAGTACAGCTGTGCATGTGAATGTAGGATTGCTGGTCTACTCTTATGTTGGGTTTTGTAATAGAGGATTTGCATTGGTACAAGACTAGGCATAGGAGGATTCCCAACAGTGCAGTATGGGAGCCCCTCAGTGTGATGGGAGTTGCATTTAAGTAGTGGAAGCAATGCAGCATCTCTTCTGTTTACTGCTCGTTTCCGGCTGGTACATTCTGTTTTGCTGTTCCCTTGGTTGCCTCCTACTCAAATTCCAGTGACTTTGCCTTACAGCACTTCCTATTCCAAGGACATTTGCATTATCAATGGATAAAGCTGCCTTACTTTCCAAGCCATCCTGCCACAGTGGCAGATGGGGCTCAGTTTCTCCAGGGAGCTCTAGTCTTTAGGCCTGAAAAGATTGTGGCTTGAATCCCAAATCCTCCCTGCTGAAGAGAATTCCTCTTCTTTTGGTTCCAGAGTGCCTTCTTCAGCTTCTTTTATGAATTTTTACCTTGCTACATGTTCAAATGAAAATGGGGTAGAAACCAATTATAGAATCATTACACCTTTTTGATCAGTAACTTTATAGCTGGTTGGCTGTCTTTATAGCTGGGTAGTCATTTTTATTGCATGACAATTACTTTGCATGTGTGGCTGGTCTCAATATATTGCACGGCTGTCCTGGGAACTGTGTAATATATGTAATGTGTGGTCGGGGCCTCAACAGTTTTCCCAGCCTCTTTTTTTTCTGTTCATGGGTCAGTGTAACAGTGCCACCTTTGGGTGCTGTCCTGCAGTAGAACCCTCTACATCCTCCAGGAGTGACTTTTTTCCAGTTTCAAGCATCTTGTTGGAGGGGTCCCAAGCATATAAGGAGTCACTGCCTTTCTCTTCTGGAGGGCTTGGAGGAATCACTGCCTGGGGGCTGCTGTGGTTCGGAACAAGGTCCAGCCTGTGTACGTGCGAGGGCCTGTGATGTGTTAAACATATTATGGAGCTCATCAGTCAGTGATGCCATAAACAGAGGCCAGCTGCAGAGTACCTGTCCCACACTGTGATGATGTAAGGACAAGTGCAAAGGCCTGCACTTAGGACCGAACAATCCCATGCACTGATACAGGCCGGGCACTGATTGGCTGGGCAGCAGCTCTGCAGAGAAGGACCTGGGGGTTGCAGTGGACAAGAAACTGAATATGGGCAAGCAGTGTGCCCTTGCTGCAAAGAAGGCTAATGGCATCCTGGGCTGCATTGGAAGGAATGTTGCAAGCAGATGGTAGGAAGTTATTTTTCCCCTCTATTTGATACTGGTGAGCCTGTATCTAGAGTACTGTGTCCGGTTCTCCCCCACAGATGGGATTTGGACACACTGGAAAGAGTCCAGCAGAGAGCAATGAAAATGGTTCGGGGGCTGGACCACATAATTTCTGAAGACAGGCTGAGGGAACAGGGTTTATTTAGTCTTGAGAAGAGAAGACTGAAGGGGGATTTAATAGCAGCTTTCAACTACCCCTAGGGGGGTTCAAAAGAGAATGGATCTAGAGCAGGGGTGGGCAAAATGACAGATCCAGCGGGCAGCCTGACTCCATTTCTCAGCAGCCCCCGTTGCTGCAGCTGGTTTCCATGGGTACTCCAGTAGCAGCGCTGTGATAGTGTGGGGCCAGGGTTTGCATGGGGACCAGTCCCAGGAGCGCTGAAAGGGCCCACAGTTGGGCAGGGAGCTGCTCTGCGGCCAGGACTGGGATCGTGCAGTGGTGACCGTGTGATTTGGAGCCAGGGCAAAGCCACAATCCCGGGCGTGCAGGCTGCGGATCACAGCTCTGCCCCAGCTCTGGACCACACTGTCACCGCTGCAAGATCCCAGCCTCAGAGCAGCTGCCCATCCAGCTGCATGCCCTGTCAGCGTGGCTGGGGGGATTCTCCATGGAAACCCTGGCCCCACACTGTTAGGGCACCGCGGGGGCTAGCTTTGCCATGACATGGGTGGGGGCTGCTGGGAAATGGTTATCTGCAAGCACTGAGAAATGCCTCCCTGCCACCACTTGGAAATAGAGTCCACTGCAGCCCTGATCCAGCTCATGTGCCTGTTCTCAGTGGTGGCAGATGACAGAACAGGGGACAATGGTCTCAAGCTGCAGCCAGGGAGGTTTAGGTTAGACAATTAGGAAGAAGTTTCTCTTAAGGAGGAACAGGAACAGGCTACCCAGAGAGATGGTGGACTCTCCATCCTTGGAGGTTTTTAAGATCTGGCTAGACAAAGTTTTGGCTGGGATGATCTACTTGGGGACCATCCTGCTTTGAACACGGGGTTGGACTAGGTGACTTCCTGAGGTCCCTTCCAACGCTCATTGGCTGTGATTCTATGATTCTTTTGGAGCCAAATGGCATCTAATATACATATTTTGTGTGTGTGTGTGTGTGTGTGTGTGTGTGTGTGTGTGTGTGTGTGTGTGTGTGTGTGTGTGTGTGTGTGCGCTCCAGCCCCCTCACCATTTTCATTGCCCTCTGCTGGACTCTCTAATTTCTCCACATCCTTTCTGTAGTAAGGGTGTGGTGGAGGAGAGAAACTGGAAACACTACTCAAGATATGGGCTCATCAGCATTGAGTAGAGGAATAATAACTTCCTTCCATCTGCTGGCAACACTTCTAAGTGGGCAGTGGCATCTAAAATACACACACCCACGCACCATATCTATAAATAAAAAGATAGCTAGATAGGAGCACATGTGTACACATGCATGCACACACACGCATATAATATTATATGTACATTAGA